GAGGGAGGGAGGGAGGGAGGGAGGGAGAGAGGGATCGAAGAAAAAAGAGGGACGTACCAGTCCGTAATCTCCCGTGGACAGCAGCGAACAAGAAAGGACGAGACAGGGGCAGGACTAGAAAAAGGGTTTGAAAATGTATTGCGGCGACCCGAATGATCCGCAGGTGCAAGAATGACTGGTGGATTATTCTTTCAATGCCTATTTCCCTTTCATGTAACTGACCTAAGCCATGGGTATGGTTCCAAAGGTGACGCTATTGCCACCTCCTCCAAAACATCATCTACTCCTCCTCTGCACCTCCCCCGGCCACCCTTCCCATCTGCCTCCCCGCCCGCATCACCTCGTCCACGACTAGAAGCTGAGTAGCGAGAATGGTCGCCAGGTGCAGGCTTTGTCGCTTCACCCGGTAGTTGTCCCACACCCCGACCATCGCGGGCGCCATCCCCTCTCCTGTCGTCACGTCCAACCCCACGGCGATCCCCGTCTTGGCGTGCTCCTCTAGAAGGGCGATGAGCGTATACTGCACGTCGAAGCCCGAGTTCTCGGCCAGGGTCTTGGGCACCACCAGCAGGGCTTCCGCAAAGGCGACCACCCCCAGCTTGGGCTTTCCGCTCACCGCCTCCTTGTAGGTCTGGAGCATGTGCGAGGCCGCCACCTCGAAGCTGCCGCCCCCCGGGACCAGGGCCTTGTCCTCGATCGCGTTCTTCACCGCGCGCAGGCCATCCCGCAGCGCGTCCTTGATCTGGTCGATCGTGTGCTGGTTCGGGCCTGCGAGAGGGGGGGGAAGAGAGGTTACAAACTCGGGCTTGCAGCGAGTCAGTCCCGGACCCCAAACCGAAGCCAGCGCGGAGCTCTCAAGGGCGGGAGCGAGGGCCGGCCCCTCCAGACCCCGGAGACTCACCCTTGATGAGGATGGTGCAGCTCCTGGCGTGGCGGACGTCCTCGACGAAGGTGTACTTCTCCTCCCCCAGCGTCTGCTCGTACACCCTCCCCGCCCAGCCCAGCATGTCCTCGCTCAGGTCCTCCACCGAGTTGATGGGCAAGCCCCCACAGGCCAGCGTCAGCCGCTCCATGTTGCGGCGCTTGGCCCGGCGCAGGGCCAGGATCCCCTCCTTGGCGAACATGTCGAGGGAGAGGGGGTCGATGCCTTTCTGGTTGATCACCACGAAGGACTCGCCCTCCTTGCACACCTGGGGACGTAAGGAGAGAGGCGTCGGTGCTCTCCTTCCTCGTGGGGAACGGCCGGGGCAGGGGGAGGGGGGCGACCTACCTTGCGCTTGAAATCGATGACTTGCCGGACCTTATCGTCCGTGAAGCGACGCTCTGAGGCCACCAACCTCTCCCGCTCCTCCGCGTTCGAGTAAAAGAATCCCGACGCTACCTCGCTGAGGCATTGAGGGAAAGGGGGAGGGAAGGGAGGAAGACGGAGTGAGGAAGGCGCCCCGGGCACAACCAAGCCGAAGACGCGGAGACAGGAGAAG